TCCAAGCCTTGCCCATCCGCATTCCTCTGTGGTACTTTAAACAGGCAAATGCTACCATATATAATTTTATATACCGTCAGCTCCAAACCTTAACCAAGCAATATGGAGGGTTAGCTGTCCCAGAGTTGCAAGAATATTACCAAGCGTCTAGGGAGACTTGTGGACTGGTGTCATGGAGATGTCACAATCTGGCCTAGTATCAAGCAGGCCCAAACTCCAATTCCACTCAATAGAGAAGAGGTAGCATGGTACCACAGAGCTCTATAATTCAAAATGTACCCTCTTATTGGCACAACATTATATATATTGCTCCTCGCTCTTTGCTTTGTCTTCCTTGTCATCAGGACATTCTCCCCTTTGCCCAATCTTGGAGAACCCTAGATTTAAACTGGCCTTCTACATGGTTCCTTCATGACCAGTCTCTGTTCAGGCCATTTCCAAGCCTCCAATTTCTTTGTGAATGGTTCTTGGCCCTCTATACAGCTCCTTAGGAATCCAACTGGTCCCTATCAATTGGATTTTTGGGGAGCCCTCCAACTCCACCACTTTCTTTGCTCACCCCCCCCATGTAGCTTCCAATACTCACCAACTCTGGTAGAAGACAATTGCTCTGAAACAGGCACACTCCCCCATGCACTTTCTAAACTGTATGTGCTACTGGTTCTGCCACCCATGGACTTTTGCCCACTAGATCTTTTGAAATGGGAGGCAGACCTGGTAAGAATGTTCACAGATGCCCAAAAAAAACAACATGCTCAGTTTTTCTCTAAAATCCTCCCTTTGCACAAAAGTTCAGGAGAACAATATCAAGATCCTAGCTCGCTGGTCCAGAACTCCTGTCGTTACACAGATTCTCCCCCAACAAATGCTGGAGATGTCAGGAAGAGGACGGAATACTTACACATGTGCTGGTCCTGCCATAGGTTTGCACACTACTGGAGGGAGGTCCGCCGTATTGTACAAAAATTTACATATTATTCAGTCGCTGCAGACACAGCATTTATTCTTCTGCATGGCACCAATATACCATACAATATCTACAAACAGTCTTACGCCATCTTTTAATACAGCCAAATCTTGCATCTCTTTGAGATGGAGAGACTCACGGGCCCCATCAGTAGGGCTTTGGCTGCATAGACTTGAGAAACTGAACCAACTGGAAGATCTGGTGCTCTCACCAACCTAAACACGAGATATATTCTAAAACTTGGATGCTATGGAATATGTTCATATATTCTGAGGAAAGGAAGTCTCTCCTCGAGATGAGCAACATGAGTGGTTAATTGAAGGAATGCCTGTCTTTCATCTTGTGCCTCTCCTTTCCAAACCCCCTTCCCCCCTCTCCTCTGGGTCTACTTTTTTTCTCCTATTTCTATCTTTCTTTTCTCTCGCCTTTTCTTTACTTGATCTGGTTTAAAAGAAAAAAAAAACAGCTGAACAGCGGTGCCTCTCTTTCTTTGACTGTATATGAGGGTGTTTCCCTCAAAGCTCCCTTTTCCTTAGGGGCCCCGTGCTCTACGGGTCAAGATATGTCTTATCTGCAGTTTCCTGAACTCATTTTGCAGACATGTAGTGTTGTAAACCTGGACATTGATGCATTTGTTACATTATTCTCCTTGCTGTGGATGTCCCTTGCTGTTCAGCATGAAGAATTTGAAAAAACAGCATGGAGTGCATGCGTGTAACACTCCACTCAGCGCATGATATCAGTGCTCAGTAGCACTGCGGTAATCCCTTCTTGTGGCCAAAAAAAATTAAAAAAAAGGAATAAAAGGCACTCAGTGATCTATGCAAATTAAGTAGGTCCTAGTTCTCATCTTGAATAACCCAGTCACTCAATTAGTCTTCAGGGACAGGGCAAGTTTTGAGACGAAAAGTGCTCCACAGCTTTTTCCGGAACGGAGTCTGGAAAATGGTCATGTGGAATCCAGTGCCCAAAGGTTGCTTCCAGCCCAATCCTTAGCCAACACAAAAGTTGTTTTTTCTTTCGTTGAGCAAATAGTACATGGTAATCAGAGTACGGCATGTGTTGTGCTTTATTAAAGCGGCTCTTCAGTGTTTGCAAGATTACTTGATGTTGTCAGTGGATTGTCTTATCTTGTATGTAACACTGGCAATGATAGTGCACCACAGGTTCTTGTAAACCCCCTATTTATTGTTGTGAAGATGACCAGTATATGATATGTTAAAAAAACGTCAAACATTTTTGTTCTGATGGTTTTTTTTCCTGGATTTTAAACAGATATTCAATTGCTACCATACCTTTTCACATCCTGGATTTATAATAAATGTAGCTAACCCAAATGCTTTACTGAGTGCTTGGAACTACACACTACCATCAAAGATAAGCTTACAATCAGAAACAAGACTCAATTTAAACTAAAACTCCAGCCAAACTTTTTTTTTTTTTTTTTTTTTGATAGGTGGGGAAGGTTAGAACAATTGTCAGGATTTTATTTTAGTTCATAGACTTCCTGTTTTATGATCACTTTTGCCCAACAGATGTGAGAGGAAGCCTTCTCAGCCTGAAATAAAAATCTAAAAAGGGATCTGGACTCTTCCTCACTCATGATGCAAAACCAAAAAAAAAAAACAGACTGATGCAGGAGAACATAAATACCTCAATCTATACAGTGACCCTGTTGAGAACTGAACACCCCCCTAAGACCCCCAGTGCTACACCCAATGTGCAATACATTACTCCTAACACATTTCAATTACACACACAAGAGAAGAAAAGCCCTGCTATGACATCATAATCCAAAATTAAAATTTGCCTCTAAGCCCTGGTTCACACCAAATGCGATTTCAAAGTGGTGCGATTTGCTCCCATTTAAAGCACAACTTCAAAATAGCGCTGATAAAGACACAGGTGCGATTTCAGTGCCATTTACCTTATAGTCTGTAAGAGTTAAATGCGCTGAAGTGATGAAAAAGTAACGCATGAACTATTTTTCAAATCGCACTACTTGAAAGCCAACCAGACGTTGCCATAGAAATACATTATTTGCAACTTCAGGTGCGATTTGTAAATCGCAAGTTGCCCCTAAAGTCGCAGCAGTGTGAACCAGGGCTAATAAATGCTGAATAAAAAAAGATGAATCCAGATGTTTAGCTGATGTAACAATTACAGAAGTATTGGCAGCCATTCTAAAAGTGGGGGAACTTTTCTTTATTTTTAACCTTACCCCTTCAAGTTGCCAAGGTAGCCCAAATCCCATCATAAAAGAATGTGAAAACATATATACAAGATATATAGATACAAATGTAAAACAGAAATCTGTAGATCAATTTATTACTAATTATTTACAAATATTTTCATATGCACATAGCACGTAACAATTGATTTAGAAAGGAACAAGAGAAAAAACACAGGAAGTGACAGGTTAAAGAGTTGGTCCATGGAGATGTTTATTATGGTAGCCTGTTGCCTACTTGTGTGGACAGCCCTAATGTGGCTAATAGAAAAATGCAGCCTGTCTGTTCCCTAGGAATTGTTGGCATCACTTTGGTATGATTTCATTAGTTTCTTCTAAGTGTTTTTTTTTTTTTTTTTTGTTAAAGTTAAGGTTTTTAGTTTTCTTTTAGTTATAATAAGATCAGCATTTGGATCCAGTTTAACTTGGTTCACATCTATTTCCCAGTGGCTGTATTTGAATGGGCTTCTGTACCCACAGAAAATGCAGGGAAAAGGTCCCTGTATCTATTCAGAAAACGTGGCCACAGAGAAACTACACAATGCAGTGCGGTTTCTAGTACATGGAGGTGACAGGAATAAATGGTACCCCCCAGGGGCGGACTGATAACTCATGGGGCCCCCGGGCAATAGGGGATCATGGGGCCCGTGTCCTCACCCACACTCAAACCACACCCAAAAAAGTCTATGAAAGGTACCAGGGACATCTCATGGGGCCCCCTACTGACCCCGGGCCCTCAGGCAGTGCCAGAGTTACCCAATGGTCAGTCCGCCCCTGGTACCCCCATGCATCTCCTAAACTGCATCACATTTTTTTCTGTGGGTGCAAAAAATTGTGTGATTCCACGCTTTCCCACAGCCCGCACTTATGTGAACCTAGCCTTAGTTTTAAAATACACTGGAAATAATATGAGCACCAACAAAATGATGGTCCAACTCCACCCACAAAAACATTAGAAAAACAGAACTGCTGAAATAAAAGGATTTAAAAAGGCCTATCTAGATAGGTCATGTTTAAATAAAGCCAATAATACAGTCCAAAGGTTACAACAATCCCTCAAACATTTGGCCTGACATGAAAAATGTCATGCCACTTTAAAGCATGCCTATCATAAACCTGATCAATTCAAACTGAGCATAAGACACGATTGTGGATAAGCTAAATTTACCTTCAATAAAAACTTCATGTCAAATCGGTCAATAGATGTAGAGATATAGACAGCTGAAGTTACATGCAAATCTTGACCTTTCCTGTAAAACTCTGATCTGGCTCATCCAAACTCTCTATTGGTCCTTTCATTCATAGTCAGCATTAGTAATAGGAAGCAGCATGAGCTTTGCAAGCTTAGCTTATACAGGGAATTTCAATATTTACATTCAGCTGATTATGTCTCTAGATTTCCTCAGCTTCCACATTTGTTCTTCATGTATTCAATCTAAATTACCACAAGCCTACTTTTTAAGCAAAGGTTTTTGTTGAATGTCAAATAATAAATTGTTTTTGTTAAAGTAAAATGTTATGCTACAGTGCAAGGCAAGTTGAAAAGGTCTATATGAAATAAATACATTTATATTTACACTTTATTTTTGATGTGTTAGATAAAACATGGTGCTTTAAAACACTGCATATTACATTTAAAAGTAAAAGGCATTTGCTGAGAAATGAAAGAACATTATCAATAAAACATGCTTGCTTCATCTGTAAACAGGTCATTTGTTTGTGTGTCCTTTATGGAGACATTGGTCTTCATGGATTATTTTCCAAAATCTTAGGGATCGCTACAGCCATCAGATGAGACCGTTTCTAGGCTTGAACTTTTGAAGACACAACACAGACCTGAGCAATATCATCGTATTCATAAGTTCGCTTTAAAAATGTGTCAGTCAGTCTTAATCCAGAAACACTCTGGGGGAAATAAAACAACAAAAGTTATTTCTGATTTACAGAAACACTATGAAAGATCACTTGCTCTTGGTTTGCTTTGTTTAAATCCACCAGCCTATAGATTATTGCTTTCTGGTAATGTTTTTTGTGAAATGCAAGTCACCCTGTGATGTGTATTGATCTTCTCAGTGCTACAATATGCCGATCAGAAATCATGCAATGTTCCTACAAAATGACTTACACCAATTTCAAGATACAATATAGCTGGTGGAAAGTAAACGGTTAGGCTTGGTTCACACTACTGAGACCTGAAAGTCACGCGACTTACAGTGCGACTTTGCCTAGTGACTTCTGGTGACTTGAGTATGACTTTGATGCGTGACTTTCATGTCAGATCCAAATCACATCAATATAGGTTAAGATCCAACTTGGTGGTGACTTTCATTAACGTCTATGGGCACAAGTCAGATAGAAGTCACCTTGAAGTACTACAGGAACAGTTTGTAAAGTCGGAGCAACTTCAGTAGTGCTAATTAAGACAGCTGTTTCTGACTAACATGGGATTTCACATGTCATGCAACTTGGGGTCTCAAGTCAGATCCCAAGTCGTTTCAGTGTGAACCAAGCCTTCTCCAAGGAGTGTAAAAAATTCACACATACACAACCAGCTGCAGCCAAAAACGGCGCTGCTCTTACGAGATACGCAAGGCTGCCACTCATTCTAAATCGCACCTCCACGCATCTCAGCCTGCATTGCTTCTGCGGGAAACCTCATGGTCAAGGAGACCATGCGATTTCCCTACAACTGCATTTTTTAAAAGGTGCATGCACCTTTTTTTTTTTTTTTTGCGAAAAAACACAGGCAGGGCAGCCCATTAAAATGAATGGACTACTGTGCCTGCACAAAACGTGGGCCGCACAAAACGTGGGCCGCACAAATGTGAGCTAGGGCTAAAAGTGGAAAGCAACATTGTAGTTATAAATCTAAATATTACTATTGTGGCTTGCTCTAATTATCAAACTTTTTTCCCCCCAAGTTATTCTTCAAAACCACATTCTAAGTGAAATAAGGACAAAAAAACCCCACAAAAAATATGCAGTACATCCTTACATACAGCTTTTTTTCCCCCCATCTTTAAAACGGCTGTAAGATCCACCATGTTTTCCTTTTAGCTAGAGATATAACCCTCCCCCACCCACATAGGTTAATTACTTGTATAATTAAGTACTTGTGATGCAGGGCTCTCTCTGTTTCTCCTAGGCACTACATGCTGTGAAATGGTTACCTTACTTGAAAATATTCAGACTATATGTAAAACTGTGTGGATGTGCTTCTAATAAAGCTATTTGAAAGAATAAATAAAAACACCTGTGATCCAGGCCTGGTCAGAAATCTGTTTGAGCCGACAACACAGTTCCTCTGCTGCCCTGAAACCCCAAGCAGTGTTGTCAGCGTAGCTGGTACTCTCTGGCTACTCGACAGAACACTTCTTCCTCTCGTCATCTTCATAACATGAGGGGAAGTGGTCTGTATTCTGGCAGGGAGAGCTAAAGTAGGATTGATACGGTGGGGACATGCTGTCTGATAGACCAGGAGGTGTCAGCAGTGGTAATGGTATCTTTTATAGTAGAGAAAGATTTGACTTGAGACCAGTTGGACAGGTCAATATTAGTCTTCATTTATAGTTTGCCCATGGTCTATCTTTCCCCAAAGTGACAGCATTGCTGTCACAGAATACATTTAAAAATCATCACTCCTTAAATTGAAGGTTGATATGTGACCTCAAAACAGACACATAAAATAATTTTAATTAAACACATTTCAAGGCCAGCTCCACACAGAACCAATAACAGAGTTTTGTGCAGCTACCGGCAAGCTGAACAACATTCCTGCTTATGTCTCTTCAGGGCTGCAATGGTGAAATATCCCACCATAAGTCTGAGTTCAAGCGAAATGCCACAGCTATTTGTGCAAAACAAGGGTATTACACTGTGGTTGGATTGGGATTCATGGTATGAGGTGTAGTATGAAGAGGTATTGTGGACATTTTTATCTAGTAAAGGGGTTCCCAAACTTTTAAAAGAAAGGGCCAGTTTACTGTCCTTCTGACTTTAGGGGGGCCGGACTGTGTCCAGTGGGAGTAAACAATGTTATTAGGGGGAGAAATAATTGGTGTCAGTGGGAGGAATAGCGCCCCATTTTTGTGGTCAGTGGAAGGAATTATGCCACACTGTTGGCATCAGTGACAGGAATAATGCCTCAAGGGATGGATAAAGGCAAGCAAAGGGCCTCATACAGCCCTAGGGCCACAGTTTGGAGACCACTGATCTAATACATTGTACATATGTTTTGTGATTTGTTTGTGGAACACACAATTTTACCACCTGAGGATGTGAGAGGCATAGGAAAACACCCTAGAACCTTTGTTGATGGTTTATTTTAGGGTGCATCTCTTATGCCCTGCTCCTCCCAATAATGTTCTGATCTCTAGACTTGGTTGATGTGAACTACCCTTCTCTCCATGGATGCAACTAAGAGGTCGTATGCTGAAATATTAGGTTCCGTTCCTAGTCCTGAGTTCCAATTTTGCAGCATGCCTCTTGAGATACTGAGCCCCATAGATATTTGTGGGGATTTCCTCACACTGCTCAGGGACTGGAAGAATGCCATTAGTGGGAAGTAGAGTAGTTTTAAACATTTTATTCGCAAGTTTATATACAGCATTCAAGTGTCCACATGTTGAGACACAAATGAAAGCCAAAACACTAGTCCTGAACTGCTGCACAATGTGCACAGGTAGGTAAATAAAGAATATATGTCTCAATGGTCAATGTAGTCTTTCGTTTGATTTTCTGAGATGCAGCAAGAAAAGGAGAGAATGTTTAGATGTCAGTGTCACCTAAGCACTGTGCCACTATATTGTATTACAGAGAGACACAGGGGCAATACTCACCTGCAAGCCCTGCACAGATGACAGAAGTGTCAGAGTGAGGAACAGAGAGGAGCTGGGGTGCAATTTGCCAAGCTGTCTTCCCGATACTCCACACCAGTGAATAGAATTAGTGTTACACATTTCTAGAACCAGATCCATTGTCCTTTCACTGCTAGGGACAAAATGAGACAAAGCATTACAATTCCAGATAATACTATACAGAACTAAATGTCTGTCCCTGCACCACAGCACCTTAGAAGTGAGATCTAGTGCTTTCAGCAAATACAGAAACCCACCACAATCTGGCTGCATATTCATTCAGAAATTATTAAAACACATTTGTTAACTAATTATATATTTAAAAACAGTTATACCTGAATTATAGGTGCACTGTCACTAAAATATAAGAAACAGTCATTACTTGGCACTCCCTTGAAAATGTTAGTTTTCCTAGTTGTCATGCTGATAGTTTGAAGTACAGAAGATATTCTGACACCTATACTTGTTTTAGATCTGTAAAGCAAATCAATTTCATGCAGCCAAGCAACTAGCATATTAAGAGGCTGGGCAACTACAGCACCCTCATACTTTTCTCATTAGTGACCAATTGCCCCGTGCAAACTACAAAATAAGCTGAGAGCAAGAATATCATCAAAGAGACAACCAGGCTGAACTGTATAGCATGGTGCTATTGATATAACATGTTTCAGGCTCAGAGAGGTGTGTGAATCACAAATATGGCTGAAGAATACCACAAATAATTTGGCCACAAGATTGGTTTTAGTTTGATATTTTTAATTTATCAAAAGGGCAGCTTTAAAACAATCTAGTTATTTATACCAACATAAATGAGGTCACAAACCAAAGTTCCTGCAATTGTGCTTCTCAGGACAGGTAGCAGATTAGGTGGCGTTCTGTCCTGATACAATCAGGTGTGTCTCTAGTTTATGAAAACAACTGTCATTAAATTTTCACATTCCCAACTCTTCCCCATTTACTGCCATGAAAATAGCAAAACCAGACAGAACAAAAAATAATATTTTTTTTCCAATTTTCTACTATTTAATACACTGACAGCTGATATAAAGGAAAGTAGAAGAACACAGAACAGCAGCCACACACCAGTTTCAGGAAATGGAAAAGTGTGATTTACCTAACCAACATGCTGATGTCACACTTGCACCTTTGCATAAAACATGGAGCAACATTAATGTCTTTCCCTTAAACCAGTCATGACAAACGTCTTTTTGTGTAGTAAAGCACATCATCGCTCTGTTATTTACAGTTCTTTGAATACTAGCAGATGGCTGATCATAGACTCTGCATCCATAAAATAGTGTGACAATACCAGATTCCACCAATTGGTGGTGCTAGAGGTGAAATATCCAAATGCAGCTCCTGGTAAAACCCAGGGGGCTGTGGGGAGGGTATGCCCTCAGTGTTCCCAATGAGGCTGTCGTTGGCACACTTCTGAAAATGCCATCTGCTTGTGTCTGGCTTCAAAAGGAATGAAACAAGCATGCTGTTCAAAAGTGTCAGAATTTCTTATCAAACTATAACAATAGTTTTCTGTGTGTCATGTTCAGACTAAAATGCAGTGTTTCACTGCGTTCCAGAGCTGTGTGATATTATACAACATGTCTGTGTAATCTCACCTCTCTGGATGGTCCTGCATGTCATTGCACTGCAAGTGCAGCCCACTGCAGTGCAGTGCCATGAAGTGTACAAGTGTACACGTGAACATGTCACATAAAGTTCAGTTTTAAAAAAATAAAATAAAGGTAACTGTGTGAGTTCTATAGATTTTTGTATGTTAGAAGGTAATCACAATATATAAAAAGCAGAAAGACACCTGAAAAATACAAACTGACAGAATTCTCTGAAAACAATTTCAAGTTTCATCAACTCTGAATACACGTCAGTAGATTAAAAGACAAGAATCACAAACTGGCTTCTGCAATTTATAAGCCATTTACTATATGAAATGCTCCAACACCTGAAAATTGTGATGATCACAGAATTCGAAATTAGATTTAAGCTAGCCATACACATTGAAAGTTTTTCATTAAACCTGTCTACAAAAAAAATATATAAAAGTTTTTATCCATTCTAAAAAAGCACAGATGAACAAATCTGCAGCACCGATTATTGTATTCTGACAGCCAGAGTCCCTGGCTGCCAAAATACCCAAAGAATGCCTGCACTTGAAAGTGGGTGCTCTTCATCTGACAATTTCCTGCCATTTGTTAATGAAGAATGTTGGGAGGAGTGGTGCCAAAAGGGTCACCCATGGAGCAAATTTCAGTTGAGTCTTTAGGATCCGACCAAAATTCGCTCTGTGTATGGCCAGCTTTCACTTCATATACATATGGATACACTCGAAGTCATGGAGAAATCACCAAACCTATGCTTATTTTACAGACCACTGATCTATGTTAACATCAACTTGCTAAATACTAAACAGAATACAGATGGTACTTTTCTGCAGCTCTATATTGAAAACAAGTTAAGAGATTACCTGCAATTAGTTATTTTACATGTGATATCAAATGGTTCCTCCAGACTGACCGTATCTGGGATGGTCTCTAAAGAAAGCCTCACATCCCCATATCCAGGAGCCTGAAAAATAGTAAAGCAATAGCGGTTTTATTACTATTAAAAAAAAAAAAAAAAAAAAAGCTACATGCAAATGAAATGATATATTTTAGTTCTTGTGCATCAGCTACATGTGGTGCGTAGTGTTTATATGGGTAATATGGTGTGTGAAAGGTTTAAATTCCAGTCCACATTACCAGATTTCATTTTTAGATATATATTAGTATGAAACTCAATGCAACTGTATGGCTATTCGTTTGTGGGGTCAGGAGAATGAGAAGATGATCACACAACTTCTGTAGACAAATAATTGTTAGGTATGGGAAGGAAGCTGAAAAAGGTACTTCGGCCTTGTCTGTACCATTCTTTGCAGCTGGCTGGTCTGTAGTCGGCCCCTTTCTCCCAGGTTGGTTTTCCATACAATGTCCAGTTTGCCGATCACTGTGACCCCTTTGATGACACCAGCTTTTTCAGCAAATTCTGGCTTTGGCTTCAAGCAGTACAAGTACTGTCGTGTGTCCAGTGGCTGTAAGTAAGTTTTTGTTCCAAACGTAGACAACCTACAAGACAAAAGCTTTTACTTAATGCCCAATTCCCACTACTGCAGGCTTTAGAGAAAAACGTTCAATATTACTGCACTTTCCTACAATAGCTAATTTGGATTTTAACATGTATGGCTATGGGCACCTTTTAGCCTGTCTTTTCACAGCCAGAAGGGGCAGGGAATTGAAAGACAAAACCCTGTTGCCACTGTCCTCCATCCCAAAGAAAAAAAAAAAAACTCACGCCAAGATTATTTTGGACAGAGCTGGTCTCTATTTGCTTTGACTGCTCCTTATATCTTTGAATGGCATAAAGTGACCTGTGACTCCTGGCTTCCAAGATGAAGAATGAAATACAAAGTAAGCAGAGCTAGTTAGGCAAAGCTTTGGTCCATTCACAATAAAGCTCCAGTTCATGTATGTCCTGTGTGAATGGTCTGCCGCAGACCATCACACCACAGCATTTCAGTGAGACTTTTCAGCCCGCTCTGGTCAAGTCATGTGATCCGGCTCCCGTGTCAGCCAATGGTGGCTGCAGGGGAGATCACCAACAACTGCACCATGGAAGCCTTTGAGTGCAGTCAATGCTCTTGGCTTTCCCAGCCTTAATTTGGCGCTCTCACTTCTCAGCTGCAGCTGCCACTGGCTGGCACAGAGGACCATGTGACTGGAGCAGAGTGGGCTGAAAATAGGCAAGTATATACATCATTTTCACACAGGTTAGTTAGTATAGGTCTTAGGAGGGGGAGGGAGCATTTTTAAGACTAGTTAGGTTTTAGCTAAAATTCTACTTTAAGGTATTTGCATAGTGGCTAAATGGTTAGCACTTCCACCTGGCAGTACTCGGGTCGTTAGTTCGAATCCCCACCACAGCATCACCTGCCTGGAGTTTGCATGTTCTCCGTGCCTGCGTGGGTTTCCTCCAGGTACTCCGGTTTCCTCCCACACTCCAAAGACATGCTGGTAGGTGAATTGGTTCCTGTCTAAATTGTCCCTAATATGTGTATGTATAAATGTGAATAAGGGACCTTAGATTGTACACCCCTTGAGGGTTAGGGACTGATGTGAATGTACAATATATATATATATATATATATGTAAAGGGCTGCGTAAATTGATGGCGCTATATAAGTACCTGAATTAAATAAATAAAAGACATGACTATAAAATGATGCATATTTGCTAGTTAAAGAACACGGTTTTTAGTTATGTAGAAAAAAACATTTTAGGAACCATTCATACAGAAATCCAGCTAAATAATATGGCAAATTCATACATCTCAAAATTATATGCTAAAGTAGACCTAAAAAAAAAATAAAGTAATAATAAAAAGGAAAAGCAAGACAACAAAGCCACCTGCTATGACCTCCAAGATAATACACAGCTCATCACTATGTTAAAGTGGAATTTCACTCTCTCAATCAACATTGACTATTGAAAATCCTTATGCTGCTAGCATTAGTAAATAGATAGGAAAGTATATCATATTCACTTGTTTTAACTTTTTTGTTTGCATTTCTTCATTTACTTCCTGGTTTCTATGCCTGGCAAATGATGTCATTCATCCCAGGAGTCTTCAGAAGGGAGTGTTCTCAGCTCCACCAATGCCTGAGCTAAGGACAGATGGATTCCAGGAAGTAACTGCTACATGAATCATCTGCCCTTATTCAACATGGCTACTGCAAGAAATGCCAGGAGGTGCTTTTCAAAATGATTTCTCAGCAAAATAAAGCATGGAGACATAGATGGATGGAGGAGTTTGTTTTGAATATTAAAAATGAATTATATAGCATTTTTGGTTTGTGGTACTCAGAAGCAGTGCAGTTCCACTTTAAGTGATACAGGCTTTTCTTTAGTGCTAGATTTAGGCCGATCATTGTCAACTAAATGTGAAGAGCAGGCAGCTTAGAAGACTTAAAATGCATGTCAGAGGAAAATTAAAAAAAAACAAAAAAACATGCAGCATATCTGCAATACATGCACATTTCCCCGTGTCTTATTAATTGAAAGATGCTGTAAATACAGAAAAATATCTGTTGATTTGCTAGAAATGCACTCAACTCCTAAGTCCTGTTGTGGGTTGACAACACAGAATGTTTGTGGATCGATTGGTATCAGCCCTGCACAGTTCTCTCTTTCCAAACTACTCAAACCCACACACGCTCCCATCTGCACAAGATAAAGGGTAATCATTCTGCAGTCCCAAGAGAAGGACTCTGGGGACCAAATACTCTTCTTGAGATAACAATGAAAGTGTGCACTGGACAGCTCTGAATTTTTTTCACTGACTGAACAGATATAACAATGTCTTCTTTAAACTGTATATTTAACAGACAAAATTGGAGTAAATAAAAGAAGATCATTCTTAGAGTTGACATACATTCTGAAGATTTCAGTGTGACCTTACCCCTCACCATAGCTGTCCACACTGTTCAGCTCTGTCACATTGTACATTATGGATGGCTCTAGTGACACCTTCTCCATGAACATGGGTGAAGTGGTGATATTTTGGATCTGGGCTTCCAGAAACACTTCGTCTGTCTGCAAAGCCACACAGAGGATTAGGAAGACAAGCTCTGAATACAACAGAGGAGGACAAAATGCATCTTACAGCATTATTATTACTGATGATTAGTGTCATGCCTGGAAATCAAAGTTACCACAATTAATGGATGTTCCAACCGGCATCCCAAACTTAAGAATCAGAAGCAAAGTTAGTCAAATGGCATACTGGAGCAAGCAATGGACATGGGATAGGTTTCAATGAATAAACTGAGCTCTGGTATTTTTGCTTCATTTATTTTTTGAAGAGGCACAAAGATAAAACATACAAACGTATAGTAACCTACAAAAGGGCAGGTGGGGTTTTCAGTTCTCACTAGGGACACTGTGCATAGATCCCTAAGTTGGTTGTTTAGTGGAGAGCGCCATAATACCACAGGGCCATCTTGGTTCCTGATCGGTTTCAGCCAACCCTTCCTTATCCCTATGCTCTCACACTACCAACATGTTGTCTTCAACACAAAGTGCAAGCACTATTAGTTGTTGGGCAAATTCAGATGGAAGATCTCATTTAAGAACTGTGTAAAATGAAGAACTGGTGGAATTGTTATTAGCTGTTCAGGAATGGCCAGTTTTCTTCACGTGTTCCAAGACAGGCAGCACGGAGAAAGTTCACAAAGTATTTCAAATTAAATATAGTTTGAGCAAAAAGCTGATCTTTCGTTTTATTTGAAGCCAATCTACTACTCAGGAAAATAAAGTTCACATTTGGTCAGTGATGCTCCTATCACATTAGTCCATTGCTTTTATTTTTTTGCTGTAGAATCAATTTCTGCATACTGGTAAATATCGATGAGGCAATTGTCAGCGGAAAGTGAAAGGCTTAGTGGAGCTTGAGAAGGTTATAAAATAAGCAACAAAATAGAAAAGCAAGTTCATCAACAAAATATTTAGGTGTGACCGGTTCTCAGGTGTCTGCCATGAGATAACTGGGAGATCTGGGCCATTACAACCTGCAGACACATTTATGCTGGCTTATTTAATAAATCAGTTTTCAACAGTCCCATCAAAACAGGTCTGAATGGTTCAAATGGGATACTGCAGTTTGCTGATTCAGGTCAGCTGAGCTTGGCCAGTGACATCACACCTGTATGCTCAGGATCAATTTTAGACAAAATGAGGCTCTGGGCAATTATAAAGTGGGTGTCAATATGAACCTCATTCCAGCTACCACACCTGCTGCCATTCTGCCAGCTGGGCCCCTGAAATTTCGAGCCCCGAACATACAATAAAAAGGGTCAGTTTTACGGCAAATCTAATTTTCCACAGATTCTATCCAATGAAGTAGCAAAAGACTTGTGCCACATTAAAGCAGAACTTTACTCCCTCAATCAACATTTACTTTTTTTTAATCCTTATGCTGCTAGCATTAGTAAATAGGTATATTATATTCATTCGTTTTCAACGGCTAAGCATACACTCATGCCTGCATGCCTGATCTTGTGAAAGTGTACCACAGGGGAGTTGAAAGCTGAACGTTCTTTCGATTGAAAAACGAAAATGGTGTTTGGTTTGTTTTGTGACATGATTGTGCCATCATTTGTTTTGTTTTTTTAACAAAAATCCAGCATGTTGGGTCAGTCACTGTCGGTTGCAGAGCAAAAATCACACGTCACAGCTGGCACACTAATGATGTGAAAAATAAGAAAATCTCACGACTGACAAGAATTTTCATTCAGTTTCCGACTCGTCTATGGCCTGCTTAAGGGCAGATGGATTCCAGGAAGTAAATGCTACATAAGCCTTTTTCCCCTTCTCAAGATGGTCATTGCTTGAAATGCTGGGGGGGGTTCAAAGTGATTTCTCAACAAAATAAAGCATTGGGACATGGCGAGTTTGCTTTGAATATTAAAAATGAATTAAATAGTGCTCAGATACAGGTAATTCCATTTTAAGGTCACCCTTTGTTAGTGAACTAAATTTTATGTCACAGCATACAAGGACTTTCTTGTGTCTAGATGAAAGGTACACTTTAATTAAGTGAACCTTTCCATATGTATGAACATTGTCCTACCTTTATAATACCAGACATCAGCAGTGTCAGACACACTCCTTTATACCTCAATACCTGCAGACTAAGCAGACTAAGCAGCAGCGTTACTGATATACAACTTTCAATTTCTTCTCAAAAGTCAACAGCTAAGTCCTCCACTGCATCTCTAACCGCTTACTTCTGAAAGCAATGGCACTTTTACAGTAAAGGGCATGGGTGTCTGACATGCAGGATGCAAATGACCAATTGTGAGAGGAGTAAGATGGCAGTGCCCAACAGGGGAATAAAGAGGGTCAAAGGGGCAGATGTGATTGGTGGCACAATTAGTTTGACTGAAAA